GAAAGCAGAGAGAGATGCGCAAATGCGAGGCAGCATTCCCAGGCCTCCACGCTGCCCAACCATGGGCCCCGCTTGCGCCACGGGCCGGACGGCGCTTCTACCTGCAGGAGATTCCGTGGAAAGACGGGGATGCTTCGAAATTCTGCCAAGTGACCCTGAGCTCTTCTCTGAATTTGGAAAGAAAAGGAAATAAGCGCCACAAAGCTCGTGGACACGTCAGAGTGACCATCTCATCACGGGCGCGCGACAGAGAGCTGCAGGGCCGGGCCGACGTCCACACGACACTTCCAACCAGCGGCGACCCGGCGGCGACACACGCCGGGGCTTTGTCAGCAAAAACACTCAGACGAGGTAAACGTGCAGCAGAGACACAACTTAATCACTGTGCATGGAAACTGCACTTAGAGTGCCAAGCTAGAACCTAAAATACTAAAAATTCTCAGAATTTAAGTATTTGTAAATAATCCGTCACGTTCAAATACTAACTTCCCTTCAATCTCAATAAATCACCCTTAAAGTGTGCCGAGCTCCAGCACTAAACCCCGCCCCACGGTCGGCCTGTCGTCCTAAACCCTCAGCTGAGGCCCAGCGGGTCCCCTCTGGGCCAAGGGTCTTTTTATAAACACCAGCTCCCTTGAGGAGTCACAACTTAACAGCGTTATTGCAGCTCACTTCTAGAGAACTGCGACCCACCTACCAAAGACTCCCTCGGCTGCTCTTCGACACCACGTGCGTCTGCGACATGGTCAGGTGGGGTCAATTTCAGTGCTCTCAGGTCAGGTCTGACGGTGTCCTGAGCACCTATTACAGTACCGCACGCTCTCCACTACCTTTTCACGTATATTCCTCATCATAACTCATTTTACAGGCCAAGACCCTGGAGGCAGGAGCAGACAAGTAACTTTCCTCCCATCAAAGGTAGAGAGACCGGGGCCAGAACCCGAGAGCCCCAGGCCACCTCCAGAAAGATCTGTAAACTCCACAGTGGGACACACGGGTCACCTCAGGACCCTCACCGCTGCTTTCGCTCAAAGACACAAGCCCTGCCCACCTCACGTCCGCCTCAGCCAAAGTCCTAGGCAAGGAGGGGCCTTGGCTTTTCACAGGAGTACCAAAGAAATTGTTTGCAACAGACAGCTAACTCCCTGTCTGAAGGCAGTGTAAGAGTACATAAAATGTTTCAAAAACTTCCCCACCAAAAAAAGAAATGTCACTTTTGTAATTAGCTGAATGTAACAAGATTTTAAAGGTCCAGCCAATTGTAAGGACATATCCAAGACTTATTTGCTAGCATTTCCTGAAGGGCGTGAATAAGAGGCCCCAGCACGGAGGACAGACGGCACTTAAACATTGAAATAACACTGTTCATCAAAACGTTAACCAAGAGCCTGACCACTCGGGATGCACTTGGGAGGAGAAGGGGATGCCCTAAACGCACGCTTGACGGCTGTAAGCTTTACTGCATTAAGTTCGCTCAGAACTGGTTTCAGAACTACAACCTCACGTTTCAAACTGCACAGCTGTCCATCCGTCATCACCCCTGCTCCACCAGCTCACCCTTCTCACACAATGAGCTTCAAGGACTTCACTAAGAACCAAGGAACCAGCAGCAGGTGAGGTATTTTGGCAAAATCTCAACCAGATGGAGAATTACTCCTTTATTTTAGCAGAAATAAACTGGTTTTATAAACATTCACACTCACAAAAAATGAAACTCTATCAGTTATATGTACTGCAAGAAACAAAGTTCTGACACACAGCAGTGCAGCACAATTAAATGTTCTAAAGAAAACTGTCACAGGGACATAGTCCATGAGAATCTTGGTTTTAAAGGGCCGTAGAGAGAGGCATGCAAGAGTGTGAACTCTGGAGCCAGACTGCCTGGGTTCAAATCCCTGCACTGTAACTTACTACCGTGTGATTTAGAGTCAGTCAGTTAACCTCTCTCTCCTGAGCTTCCGCATGAATAGACTAGACATAACTAAGGACCAGCCTCGTAGGTTGTCGTGAAAGCCATGTGCATAAAGCGAGTGTGATGTGCTTGCAGCAGTCCTGGAATAACACCTGTTACTCACTGTCACCACCTTGGACAAGAGCTGTTATTAACAGAAGGCCAGGTGAGGCAGGCAGGAGAGGTAAACTCTAAGGAGACGAGTCATCCATGCGCTGAGGGTCATGTTTTACACGAGAACATGGGGCACTGTGCCGGGCAAGGAGGAAGTGTAGCCCATAAGTTCCTGTCCTTGTGGGGGTGGGGGGAAGGGAACAACTGGACACCACAATTTGGAACTGTGGCGCAATCTGGAGCACCACCAGGGAAAGCTGGAGACAATCCTTTCAATTGCCCCTCTCATCAGCTCTGCCAGGTAAACAGGACGTGTCGCAGGGGAAGGAACTGAGGCCAGAAGAGATGGGATAACACTGATCAGTGCACAAACTCATTAAGGGCCTTTGCTCTGCCACCACGGCAAGGGGCAACCAGGGTGGGGGGGGGGTCCCAGGACGCCTCTGCTCCCTAGCTGTGTCCTCTCAACACCTCCAGTGGATAGAGAGGTTCTGCAGCTCACAGCCAGGCTGGCAGCGGACATTCCAAAAACGTCTGTCAAACTGAACTGAGTAAGACCCCTGCTCCAGATGTGCACAGGCAGCCCGAGAGAAGGGACTAACGCAAAAGCTGCTGGCTGCCGGCCCAGGGCTTGTCCTAGACTGACCTGTCAGGATAAAAGCCCCAAGGACAGAAGCGCAGCTTCCTGGGAGCTGGGAGGTGACCCTCACACTCAGGAGTGCCAGGAACATCCTAACACCCCGCTGGCTTCTTGTCCCAGAAAAACCCTGGGGAAGACTGATTTGTGATTACCCAACAGTCTTGGTCTGGGCTTGCAAAGTCTCAAGACTCATCTGCTGATTACTGAAATGTAACTGCGGAGAAAGAAGGAACCTTCTAAAAAATCAGTTTATCTAATTCATCTAACATGTGTTAAGTAAGGAGCTCTGGACAGCATGGATAGTCTGCTAAGGGGGACAAATTAAAAACAAAACGAAGAGCAGGGGAAGGGGTGGACACATGCACAAAGCCCTGCGGGGCCCAGACAAACCCACAGGTGGTCGCCGGGGCGGGAGGGGACCCTGCCTTACTGGCTGAGCGCGGACACGCAGGAGAAGCCGGGGGTCGCAGCGCCCCTGCCCGGCGCGCCCCCTCACTCATCCC